TCAGCCCGTCCCTTCTATGAAGTCGACAGAAATATCATGGGATCCTGATGCAACAAATGAAATTAAAATACATGTAGACAACTGTATGCCAAATGTAATATCTTCCTTGGAAAATATCGATGAATCTCCAGAGGGCATCAGCAATACAGTTAAACACTTTTCAGTTGCAATATTGGATAAGTTTAAAAAATTCTGTGAAAAAGAAATCGCATATAACCCTAATAAGAAACAATACATAACAGAAACACCAAGGACAGAGGACAAACCAAGGTTTGATGATCAGTGTCGAGCTTTATATAAAGAATACAGGAAAAAATTGGCGTATTTCAACGAATCTAGAACACAAGAGAATCATGAAAAACTTGTTACTGCTAAAAAGAAATATAAAACAGTGGAAAATCGATTTATACGACAATATCAAGGACAGGAGGGAAATCAACCAGAGTTGCTCCGCTTATCCAACCCCAAAAAAGATTTTACCGCGTTTTCAAATGTCCGAAAAATAAAGTTGGTATAACTCTAAGGAAAAGTGAATCTTATGAACATTTCAAAAAACTCGCGAGTGATAAAGCAAACCAAGAAGCAGCCTTATTTGAAATACCCGAATCGCCGACTTTCCAGGAACTTGACATTCCGATTACATGGGCGTAGGAACCGGGGGGGGGGGGGCACGGGGGGCCGTGTCCCCCAATAATTTTGCCGATATATAGAATACTATAGAAAACATAGCTACTTTATGCTTGTGCCCCCTCAATAATAACGTATGATTTTCTTTCTTTTCTTTTTTTTTTTTGCTTGTCAAGGAATTTTGATAGTTGATAGTGCCCCCCCCCCCCAACTGAAAATGTATGTTTGTGCCCCCTCAAAGTGAAATTGCTTCCTACGGGCCTGGATTACAATTGATGAAACTGTTAGTGCTATTTCTGATTCAAAGGCAGATAAGTCGCCAGGTTTTGATAGTATTATTAATGAATTTTTCAAAAGCTTTTCTACAGTTTTTTTCGCCTCTTTTGAGAAAGTTGTTTAATTTTATATTAAATACAGGTTGTTATCGATCTGTTTGGTCACAAGGTATAATTGTGCCAATTTACAAAAAAGGTTACGAAATAACCCAGATAATTGACGGGGGATAACTTTATTAAGTCGTCTATCAAAACCATTCACATCTGTCGTGAATAAACGTTTGTTGTCTTGGAGTGACGAAAATAGTGTTGTGAGTGATGCACAATTTAGTTTTAAGCCCGGTTCCGGGACAAGGGATGCTATTTTTGTATTGTATTAATTAATTGCTAAGACTTTGAGTGAAAAGAAGCGTTTGCATTGTTGCTTCGTAGATTATAGAAAAGCGTTTGACAGCATTCAGCATAATAAAATGTGATATAAACTAGTGAAATACGGTATAAACGGAAAATTATTTAATATTATTAAGTCTATGTATAGTGGCTTGAAAAGCTGTGTGAAAGTTTATGGTCAATTTTCTGAATATTTTTCTTTACAAAGAGGTCTTATGCAAGGTGAAGCTCTCTTGCCAATGTTATTTTCATTATTTATTAATGATTTAGAGATAGAAATGCTCACAAATGGTTGTGAAAGTGTTCAACTTCAAAATTTGAATCTTTTTGTTACTTTTATATGCGGATGATATATTTTTTTTTCAGAAAGTGTTCAGGGTCTGTAGATAATGCTTGATATATTGAAGTCTTATACGGATCAATGGAAATTAGAGGTTAATGTTAGCAAAACAAAAATGGTAGTCTTTCGAAATGGTGGTAAAGTAAAAAGCTTTGAAAAGTGTTTCTATGATAATACTGAACTTGAAATTGTTGATGTATTCACATACCTAGGAGTTGATTTAAATACGATGGTCAATTTGATTGTACACAGAAATCAATTGCTACCAAAGCTAAAACATTTCTTTGTGGGAAAGGGTGAAAGAGAATAATCTAAATGTGGAGACTACACTCTCTTTATTTGACACATATGTAGGTTATGTTCTTCATTATGGATGTGAGACATGGGGATTTCATAAAGCCCCACATGTTGAGCAAGTACATATTAACTTTTTGAAGAAAATCATGTTGTTCCAAAAACTTACAAATAACTAAATGGTTTATTTCGAATTTGGTAGATGCCCAATGTATGTTCAAAGAAAACTTCGAATTCTGAAATACTGGTGTAATTTGCTCAATACAAATAATTGCATTCTGCAGACATGTTATAAACAACTGTTATGTGATTATGAAGAACAACAGGAAAATTGTACAAACTGGTTAAGGGCAGTTAGAAAAGAACTATATTGTTTAGGTCTTGGAAGTTTTTGAGAACGACAAGAATTTGGTAATGTCAAACAATTTTCTTTTCTTGTAGAACAGCGTCTTACTGACGCATTTATACAAAGTTGTTATAGTGCTTTTGAAAGCTCGTCAAAATGTGTTTTGTATAAATAAATAAATGACACATTTGATTTAAAAAGATATCTTGTGAAGCGATTGACATACAAAGAAAAGTTTGTGTTAATGTATGAATATTGAATTTCTGCACCTTCTTTGAATCTTGAAAATGGAAGGTATAAAAACCTACCCCGAAATGAACGCAAATGTTTATTTTGTAAGATGAAAGAAGTAGAAGATGAATTTCATTTTGTTTTGATATGCCAGGCATTTTCTGATTTACGTAAAAAATATATTAGCCGTATTATCATAAAAAGCCTTTCTTTTTCAAACTCATTTAACTTTTTAGTGCATATAATTTTAAAACTATTCAGAAACTTTGTCAACGTTTATTGAAAGCTACAAAACAAAGGGAAACACTTTGTTAAATATCATTAATGATGTTTCAAATTTCAGTTAGTTAGATTCTATCTTTGTTACAAACTCTTTATATCCATACATTTATATATTGTAGTTCATTTTGAATCCTCTGCCATTTGCCTGTATTGTATACATTTTGTGTACCTATGAGCCACAAGGCTCCTTTGGTCAACACTAAACATTACTGAAAATCGACATTGCATTACCGAAAATTGTTCTTTTCAATACCGAAAACTTATTATTACCGAAACTTAATAATTCTTTTGAAATAATGTAAAGCATTTCCGAAAATATTAACTTTAATACCTCTTTTGTTTGCCAGATGTTCTCACCACGGAAAGAGGGTGAGGGTGTGTGTGTGTGTGTGTTTACCCGTATTGTAATTGATATATTCACTCAGTTCATTGTTTTTGTAACCTTGACTTCTTGTATAGAGAGGGTATTTATAGGTATTGTATGCCTGTTGGCCGATCTATTCAGTATTCTGAATAAATATTGTTTAAACCACGGAAAGATTATTGATGATTTTGAGCAAGATAATTTTAATTAATAATCAGCACTTTAAGTTTACATTCGATCTTAAAAAGCTTGTAATCTTCAACATAAAAATTTGAATATCAGTTGACTCAACGTACTTAAGTCCAAAGTGAAATAAAATGCCCACGATACCTAGTCATGTATTTCTAGATGCAGTTGCAAACTTTTTCTGCCGCGCTTGTAGGCCTAAACGGTGTCTCATTTTGAATTTTCGGTAATGATATCTAAAAATATTTGGAAATGAAAGAAAATAGTTTTTGATATGATATCCTACCAGTTTTCAAAATTTTGGGTAATGCAATGCAGCCCTAGAGAGCCTAAATTATCTCTGAAATATATTAGTGAAATTCTAACTTTCAGAATTTTTATTTATATTTTTTCCAAATTGAATTTTCTAGAAATTGCTTTCAAATTTACACATATTTTAATTTTTTCCAACCAACTGGCTACAGATTTTCTAACCAACTACCAGCATGCACTCTCTTTTAGTTTAAGATACATGTAGCAAGAAACTTGGTATGAAATTAATTTTTATGTACTTTTTTGTAACGATTAGTATTTTGGACATGGTCCTTATTCAAGAGGTGAGGGTCAACAAACTTAGATAGAAAGGCTATTTATGTTGAAGGCTCTGATTGACTGCAGTAAGGACAGATGAGAAATGTTCTAGAAATTGTGCCCTTTTTCGTGTTCAAAACGCCCTTTCACCTCGCATTTTGACGCCTTTTTCCTATGCTTTGTAACACTCCTTCACATTTGCGTTTTCCCTTTGTGTTATAACGACTTCCCTTTTGTGTTATGACGCCTTTTATAACGCTTTCCACTTTGTGTTATTCATTTTTCTTGTTCGATCCCTGTAAGCTTACCGATTCTGTATAACATCAAAGAAAGCTTGACAGTTTTTTTTTTACATCATAGTGTCAAAAAGCACAATGGAAGTGTTTTTATTCATTACTGTGATCTTTTAAATTTTTTAAAATCAATTCCATATTCATTCCATAACAAGTTTTGTGTGATCTGTTTATTTTCAAAGTTTCCTGTAATAAAAAAGAGACAAAGTTAATTTGAATGATTTAGAGATATTTGAATTTATATGACCGAATTAAGAGGTTGAGATCCCGAGGGATGTACAAAGTTCAACTTTCACAAATGGATAAATGTAAGATATGTAGTGCGTAAAAAAGACAGATTGAAATCTTTTTGAAACATTAACTTTAACAGCTTTCAAAAATGTGCATGTACGTCATATTTATGATTGGTGATCAAATATCCGTCAAGGCCGAAATCACTCGATGGATACGGGTAATTACAGTAATTTTATTTAATTGATTTGACTCATTAATCAACACTGTTTTCTCAAGCAAGTGCCAGATGTATAAAATTCTGAATTCTCATATGTCAAGTTAAAAGTAACGCGGTATAAATTTGAAATTTTGATATCAGCTGATTACTTGACCCTCTATTAATCGTGAAATCTATCCTAAGTGTGGAGTTTTAATTTTTAAATAGCGATTGTCTGGTAGAATTTTAAGTATATTGTTACAATAGACCTTGGGCTTTTGTAAAACTCTAACAGAGCGTGACGGGTAGATTTGCAACGCCAGCGGTACAGACAGCACATACCCACCATTCTTCATCACAGAGGGAATTTAAATTCGGATCTGGACAATTCAAAATGCCGGAAATTTTAATCAAATTGTGATTTCAATCCCTGGGTTTAATTTTGATATTATATTGTTTTAGGGATATGACCGTGATTCATTGAAGACGTAGGTAAGCACTTGATTAATATTGAATCATTGAATTACTTCCATGAACTGAAAAAAAACTTATATTCTGTACAGACATGAAGTTAATTGTGACTAGAATATTTAAGTAACTGGACTGTATGGTCATTGGAGAATATAGATAAATTGATATATTAATTTAATAGATAGATAGATAAAGAAAAGAAAAATTTCAAGATCTGCTACATTTGTATGTAAATAGGCGAGTAGGCGAGTTCTAGAATCATTTCACTATCGAAACAAATGACTTCAAAGACTTCAGAAATCACTTCTGGGGTTAGATATGTTAAAGAAACCATGAGCAATGTCAGATGAAAAAATACACGGTTTTAAATTTGTGTTATTCTTAGATTTAAAAAAAAGTAAATGCGTCTTCTGTTTTTTTTATACATATCTGGTACATTTACATATATATTTATACTTTTAGATAATCAAATTATAAAAGTGAAAAATAATTTTAACATGGTATAAGTGAATTACAATTTAGTGATTAGTTAATGAAACCAATCGTTGCGGGTCAGTGCATTAATTAGTGCGCAATAGATTCTGAATACGTCTCCCAATCAGCTGATCATGCACCAAAGTCACGTAAGCATGAATGCATGCAGTAATGTACCTGTATATTTAACACCCCATTTCCTCAAAAATTATATTGTATTCAATTTTTTCCACATTGAGAATGTTTGCTTGACACATTTCTTTTTTAAATATTTTTAAAAATTTTTTTTGGGAATGATCGAGACAGAATCATCATCATAAAAAAAGAATGGACCTTTTATGATTATAAGATTTATTCAGATATTATCAGAATCATCATCATGAACTAAAAGTATTTTATTTTATTTTATTTATTTATTTTTTTCACATTCAGCAAAAAATAAAATTATAGCTTTTAACGCAAAAATGAACAAACAATCTAAATGAAAGAGCATTGCAAAATCTTTGTCGTTCAAACCCAGCTACATGTACAACTATTATGTATGTACACAAAATTAAGTTAAAATGGCCACTGAGGTGAGGTCAGGCGTAACGAGGGTCAGTTCCTGGTCAATTTGGAACAATAAAGACTGAAAGAGTGTCAATTAAAGCTTTACAAAGTTTACTTGGCTAAGATCAATAGTGACATTTCTGTTAAATATTCAATAGCTTGGGGTAGCGTGATCTGATACAATGGTGGAGGGCCAGTAGTCAGCATGGGTCAACAAAACAATGTAAACAAACAAACATCAGTGTCTAAAACTATTATAATTCACTTAAATAAACCATATATGTTTTAATGAACTACTCGTTAGTTTCTATAACATCCTCATTGACATGATTTATAGAAAAATTAAAAGCCAAACTGAGGTAACACGAAAAATGCTGAATTTTACTTTTGAAAAATTTAATTTTGCTCAAATACCAAATACATTTGAATAAAAGCAATAAAACAAACTGACTATATACATGTTAGATATTAAAAAGAGTGTACCTCCTGACATAGGCTTATTTGATTTTACAATAAAAACTCTTTATTTGCAATTTTCGACGCATATATTAAACTACATAAGGAGAAATTTATACCTTATGTTTGTGTACCAAAAATTATTCCGTAATTGAGAAAATATGTGCAGAAATACTATTAATCTAAATAAAGCACATAAGGTCTTGTCAATTCAACTTAGTACATGCATGCAGAACGGGAATATATACATGTATATACCTCAAATTCCTAACATAGTTTTAGAAAATGATAGAAAGACCTAATTTTGTGTTTTTATACTTTATCATAGAGATAGATGTATGGAATGTATGTAGTAAAATAAAAAAATCCTGATACCATCACACTAACTTCATGTCACACTGACTCAATGAAAGGCCGCCTCCGGAAACGCGCAGAACGTTCGAACAAACCGCGCATCTGGTCCTTTTTCCCTCGAGCGAAGCTATATCTACAAATTTAAAACACACACATATATTAGATTATGTTTCTTGTGATTTTCAATCAAGTTGAGGTCAATCTAATTTAGCAAAAAAAAAAAAAAAAAAAATCCCCCCCCTCAAAATCATTTAAGCTAACAAATTCAGTTCTAAAAAGAAATCATTTAAATTGCTCACAGATTAAAAAAAAATATGATTTTTTTAATCGAAAAATTAAATTAGTTTTAGTATCAGGAGTATTTGTAAACTTGAGTGAACTTTAAATAATTATATCTAAATATTAATATCTTTAATGATCGTTACAAAAAAGATAATAATAAATTAATGCAAAAGTAAAAAGATAAAAAAAAAATAAATAAAATAAAAAAAAATGAATGCAAGTAAAGTTAAAAAAGGAATTATTTATTAACCTCGTCTCAAGCCATGGTCCTGAATTCGCATATAGCCCTCTCCTTGAATTTGAAAAAAAGAAAAACTCTCCAGAATGGGAGAGGACATGTTGGTTGTGGTTTGCGAGGATGAATTTTAAACGAACGACCTTTTCCCCCTACACCAATGCACTCTGGACGAGGGTTAAGGTTAATGGCTACTGAGGGAGGTGTTCATCATATTGACGTTCATGTACATTTGTTCCCCACTCCCTCCCCAACATGATTTTATCTATTGATTTGTTTAATAATTAAAACAAAATATAAAAATATCATTGTAGTAAATGTACATATAATATACTTTTACGAATTAATGCATAAACTTTTTAGATCATCTTATATTGTGAAATTTATATATATTAACAATAAAAATCTAAAATTCAACTCTGTCATACTAAAAGAGCCCTTTTTATTTTTTTTAATGTTATTGTATATGTTAAGCAGAAAGCAAATAAAGATAGAAGTTTAATGAAGCTGAATTATTCACGCCATCTTTAAACTTCCATTACAAAAAAAAAAAAAAAAAAAAAAAAAGAATTGATGTCTGTTGCTATAATCTGTTCATAAAATTTTTGTTTTGTATAGAAGTCAATGTGTTATGAAGTATTGTTTTAAAATTAGAGACAGATTAACTTCTTCTTGGTGTATGTTGCTGTGTCAAATATTTATCTAGATATATGTATTACAAATACATATATTCAGTGCCAAACATATTGCTAGTACATGTATTAGGAATTGCAGATACACTGTTGAGTAATATCATGGAATGGAAATGAAAAAAAAGGGGGGGGGTGTTTAAGCTCCCAACGTGGTGGACGTGATCTTGAATAGGTTATACAACAAAACAGAGGTGACGAAACACTGTTATAGTTTTTCACCTTACAAAGAAATTTATAACGATTTTCTGGCATTACTTTATTTACTTATTAGCGGTGAGAGGTTTTTTAATTTTATATTTTTTTCTGCATTTTTCATCATTAATATCATGAAAATATTTAAGCTGCATGTACAAGTCTGTATGATGGCGATTTCAGCTCTAGATTTTAAAATCTTTTTGAATATTTGACACAATAATTTTGGTTTATATTTTTTTCTGCATTTTTCATCATTAATATCATGAAAATATTTAAGCTGCATGTACAAGTCTGTATGATGGCGATTTCAGCTCTAGATTTTAAAATCTTTTTGAATATTTGACACAATAATTTTGGTCTGTATCATTAGAACCGAAAACTTAAGCTTAAAATCCACATTTACTTTATAAATCGTGATGATGGTACGATTATAAACTTTTTTTGACATCATGACATTTTTTAATTTTTTTTGCAATGTCTGTTAACCCAGATGTTACAAATCATCATTTGGAGAAACTCATCTGAAGCCGCAAAAATACATGTATTATTACAAAGTTTTTATCTGAGTCACCTTCAGATCACAATTTTAAAGGGATAACATACTAAATGTATGAACCGAACCGTGAATGTCACATTGATAAGTACTTCCCTAAGAGGGAAAAAAAAAGGAACCTGAAATGAATTCCATATGTACTTTATGACGCTTTACTCAAGTCGTTTAGCCCGAAATGCAAAAATAACGAGTGTTGATGAAAAGTTCGCTGCTAAACTGCTTGACGTGTCCGATTTCACTCGTTGCATAATTTATAAATTTTAGACACCAGAGAATTTGAAATGAAATCAAAAGAGAGAATTAAGAAATTAGCATATTGCCATACAAAAGTTTCCTGTGGAGTATGGTCCAATTGAAAGCACGAGACAAAATAAATCCTAACAACAAGAAGTAAACTGTACAATTATAATAGATCCCGAAACTTACCCAGAGGCAGGTTTTATGACTTACATTGAGGATATGCTATCAATTGGACCATTTAATTGCGCAGATAAGATTTAACAAAGAAAATATTTGCAAGTCAACTTTCCTTTCAATTTGGTTTCCTGCAAATATCATTTGGTCTATACGAGTCTTCTTCGCAAGCCAAGGGTTTTCGGTCCACTCCGCTCCATAAAAACCCTTACGGTTTATTGTGACCAGTCTGGATAGAAAATTATTGGCTTGCAAAGGTGTACTGAAATAGGTACACTATCCACAAGGACAAAGAATCATTGAAATATCCCCCCATATTACATATGTCTTATTAGTCCACTACTGTTGAAATAGAAAAGGAATAAAGTTGTTATATCTCTGTCCACTTGTTCGTCACTTCCGTTTCGTAGAAAATTATTGTTTATTTTCATAAGATATTGGATTTAGATTTGGTTCGCAAAATATTGGACGTGAAAGAGTTGTAGATCAAAGTTAAGGAACTTACTGACTTTTGAATCAAAGTTTTGGGTTATGGTACTGGGATTTGGTACTGCAGTAAACAGCATATAAAAATGAGGACCAAATTCAAGTTTTATTGGAATTAATTCCAGTTCCTCTAAGTTGTGACTCTAAAATTACAAAAAATGACAATTTGTACAACATATCAAAGTTGTGGATCCAGCATCTGTTTTATGTTATTGTAATTTAACCTTATATTGGCAGGAATTTTACTCCTTATTGCCTGAAAATCAACAGAAATTCTTTTTTTTTTCACGAAGTTTTGAGATTTAGTATAATACTGTGCATGACTAAGCTGTCGATCAAGTCGGAGTTTCGTGGAATTGATTCTTTTTTTTTCTTTCGAGATGTAATTTTCATCAATTCATATCAATAATTTTTATATCTTTTTAAAACTTCCAGATGTTACAGTAAAATGTGTCCCACTGCTCTGTGAAGTAGATCTGTTGATTTGCCTGAAAAATGGTCTATCATCACTATTTTAAGAAGCAGTGAAATATTTACTTCAGGAATATACTTACGACTACCAGAGTTTCAATGCATATAACTGAAATATGAACAATTTTCACGTAATAGACTGTTAAATATTAAAATATCTTTTCAATGGATTCTGTTAAAAAAATCACATTTATTATATAAATGCCTTAATTTTGAAGTAGATTCAGCATACGTAGTTGGATATTTATTTTCCCTACAACTTCTATCGTGACTAGTGTCTATATTGGGCTATAGCTCTATGAATTCTCAGATTTATAATGCATATATATACCAAATATGAACCTCTGAATGAACGTTTTCATTGTCAATATTTGTAAATGTCGATAGTGGATAAATATTGATTATTACTCTTAAAAAGTTTTGTTTTTCTCTCCAGGGGAAGCAGATTACTTCAACCATGGAGCAGAGGCTGGGGCGAATATTGTACGTTGTCGTGGTTGTCATGGCAACCGTCACGCTCTGTGACAAGAGTGTGTTCGATTGGGTTCCACGTGATAATTACGGTAAAATAAACGGACTAATGACCACCATACAGAAAGCCTCAGATTGTAAAGCCAAAACACAGCAGGCCATGACCCTTCCTAAAGCCTCGGTATCACAGATACCCCGGGCTAACCAGCTATTGAACAAAATATGGTACAAAAACAGGACTGCTCTTGTTCATATGCACAACATGGCGCTTAACAGGGCTTTCTTCTATAGTTATATATTTCAAAAACTGAATAAATCTCAGACAGATTTTGAGTATCAGCCAGGTTGGTTTTACAATTACGTTTCCGTAACAGCCGATACTAATGCCAACAAGGGGATATTCAATGCTTCAGCTTTAATGTTTGACAATCATACCTATTATCCCAACTGGATGACAAACTTTGATTTCAATAAAACGCTTCCGTTGTTTGGTGTTCGCTCCTTCAGATTTGACGACACGTTTGACATGGGTGTCATTCTCCGTGAGCCGACAGGAAGAACTACATTAGTGCAAGACATTGGTGCTATTGGAAATTATTCACATAAGGGCTACAAAATGGCGCCCTGGTTTAACTTTTGGCTGCCAGATAATGACCCCTCAATGGATTCTGTTCAAAAATTCACGTACTCGGTTAATGTGAAATATGCCAACGGTACTGGTCGCTGGCTTCATGACGAGTTCCAGGCTACGCCATTTTTTGGCCCGAACTCTCCTGGTATTGGAGATACAGACGATAAGTACATGCCTGTCCGTTTTACTGATACCTACTACGATTGTAAGATGTCCAACAAGTGGATCGTGAGCGCTGTGTCCCCCATTGTAGACTTCATGCCGAGATATTCAAACTGGACCCACTTAAGGAGACCAAGGTATTACGGAGAGCGTTTTTGTTCATCATATTTCCTTAATAATGAAATCAGTAGTTGTTGGATTTGTTTCTGTCTTATAAACACAGATATATTTTTTAAAGGTGCTTGGACACAGATTTGAAGTTTATATTTTCTCAAGTTTTCGGAAGAATATCAGGACTTATATGTTGCTATAGCTTTTCAAACAGAAATAATAAAAAAAAACTTATTTTATCTGGAAATTATTGAAACTACAAATTTTGGGACACGTTTGATTGATACATCCTAGCACTTTCATAAAGCAAACTCTATCCTAAATTGAAAACACCCGGTGAAACGTAAACATTAACAATAACAGAGATCGTGCCCTGTTTACAATAACAGTTTACGTTTCACGGTAGCTGCAGAACTGTAGCTCTCTGCTTGAGAAAATTCGGACAGACAAAGCAGAGAGCTACAGATCCAAGCGTTGTAAAAACCTTCGATTTACGCCGCCGCTTTTTTGTCGCTCGCTTCGGCTATTATTTCTTGTATTTAATGCTTTCCCCTGCTTTAAAAATGGTATCCAATAATTATCCATATATTTTACTCCTATTCCTGACACTTTATTTACCTTTCAACAGTTCCAGACGGCCGTAATATCAGTTTAAAAAACGCATTTCGACGTCGACGTTGGTGTCATCCTGAAACAACACGCCTGAGTTTTATTTATCTCATTTCCTTTTTACATGTATACATGTTGTTTTCTAATCTTTATAGACAATATATACATGATATTTAAACCTCCTGAAATTTTTATTTACATTTTCTTGACAAGTGTATGTTCTTTGAATTACTTCTTTTCGCACAACCCCCTATAACATGGACATCGGAATGGGAATTTTTTAAACCGACATTTCAAAACCATAAAGGGCTGTTTGAGACCGTTGAAAGGTAAATAAAGTGTCAGGAATAGGAGTAAAATACAAGAAATAATAGCCGAAGCGAGCGACAAAAAAGCGGCGGCGTAAATCGAAGGTTTTTACAACGCTTGGATCTGTAGCTCTCTGCTTTGTCTGTCCGAATTTTCTCAAGCAGAGAGCTACAGTTCTGCAGCTACGTTTCACGGGTGTGTTCATTTTGTTAAACTCTGCACACATCACTGAACAGGGACTGACAATACTGGTGAGTTGGTTTTGCTTTCTCACATTTCTACTCTTTATTTTCTGGATTATAGTCTAAAATATTTCATTAATGCACAACAAAATTTCTACTTTTCTTAAGTATTAAGGATAAAGTTTACTTTGTGAAAGTGCATATATGTGTCAATCAAACGCGTCCCGAAATTTGTAGTTTCAATAATTTCCAGATAAAATAAGTTTTTAATTTAATTTTCATGTGAAATGCAATAAAAACATATAAGTCATGATATTATACCGAAAATTTGAGAAAATATTAACTTCAAATCTTTGTCCAAGCACCTCCCTCTGATCACTCATATAAACTTATACTTTTATAAATTATATGTACTGATTTTTCATAGTAACTTAATTTAGAGTTTAATACGTACAAATTCAGCATACCTTGCGGTCTAAAATGTTATAGAAACCACCTTTTACTTGACAATTTAATAATGAAAAAGATGAAGATAATGAACAGTGATTAACACCAAAATATACATGTACAATACAAATTTGTGAGCAGGGCATAAAACATGAACCCCTGGAAATTCCAGAGGTGGGATCGGGTGCTTAAAAGGAGTAAGCATCCCCTGTCGACCGGTCACACCCGCAATGAGCCTTATGTATTGAAGAGGTATACAGAATAATCCGTAGTCAAATTTCACATAAACTTATGGTCTAATCATTGGTAACCGTTCATGGTAGCTCATTCGGTAGAACGCTCGCTCTATGATCGGGAGGTCGTGAGTTCGAATCTCGGCCGTGACTGACCTAAGTCGATAAAAAAAATGGGTAGCAACTGTTCCTTCGCCATGCGCTCGGCACTTTGAAGTGAAAGTTGTGGGTCCTTCGGATGAGACCTTAAAAACCGAGGTCCCGTGTAACGGCAGGTGTTGGCACGATAAAGATCCCTCACTGCTCAATGGCCCTGAGTGCCGAGTGAAGGTCAAAATTTGAAGCCCTTCACCTGTATATGGTGACGTCTCTATATGAGTGAAAAATTCTTAAAAGGGACGTAAAACAACATACAATCAATCAATCAATCAATAATCATCGGTATGAACTATCAGTCACGACACAATGATAGGTTGTATTTGCAAACAATGACATTATAACGACCATTAACTGACCTAAAACGAGGCTGCTGAAATCCCTGTAACATTCACCTGTTTGTCAGTAGCCTGCATGGATTTAGAAAATGTTCGTAATCAGAGCATGTTCTTGCATATCGAATAAGTTGGGAAACATAAACACCATTTGCAGGAATATAAAAACAGATCGCCTATTAAAGGAGTACAGTAAGTCCCATCGAAATTCCAACAGATTGTTGGAAGAATGATCTTCAAAGATTACATAGATGTTGGCAATGAGGAACTCCAGCATCCTTTTAAAAATATTAACCCTAGATTTTTAGTAGAATCAGAGTGGTTTTTAACAGGAATAAAGGATTGGTAGTCAGTTATCCCAGTGAGAGTTATCTCTCTTATTAGAAGGTTCATAAACCTTAAAATATTAAAATTTCATCATAACAGGTTTGTGGGCGTGGCTGTGATGGACATTGACTTTTTGAAGATAGACTTTAATGCTTGCCCAGTCAGTATTGGAAACCCGGGTCCGAGTTTCTTGTCCGGAGTCAGCAAGTGTAAAACCAAAACCACACAGGTAACTATTCAAAACCACACAGGTTACTATTCAAGTCAGGTAAAAGAAAACAAATCGAAGCAGATGAAAGGGGTATATTTTGCTTCAAGAAAACAATAACATGAAAAAAGAAAGTCTCAGTTGGATACACTATTTCGAACTGTCTGCCCATATCTCGTACTTCAACCCTTGTAATTCATACTTATTTAATTTAGCAGATCACGGTGAATATCACTTTGTTGAAAGTAATGGTTGAAGTTTGAAGTTCCAAAAGCACTTAAATGGTCATCAATTAATGAAGAAGTAAAATTAACCTGGTAATCTCAATGATATTCATATATTGCAGTGTAAGCATGTGTCTGGAAAAGGCTTTAAACGAGGAGCATACACCTGTATCTGTAACTCAGGTCACAGTTATCCTCCGAGAGTTGGACCGCCATGGAAAGGCGGGGATCTTGAAAAGGCCACCGAGTTCGAGAAGACAGTGGGCTACAAATGTCGACCAACTGGATGTAAGTCATTTCAAAGTAGTATTTTGCCAGTGTATAATCCTTTATTTATTCTGTATCGATCGATAGAACGATTGAGAATAGTTTCTTATATAACTTTTTAAGCTAATTGTGTCTTTAGATTGTACTTTCAGAATAGTAACATTAGGACATCTTATTCTTATTTTAAAGATCTCCGTGTGCTTCCCGTAGTGGACACAAGTGCCATTAACGTGAACGTTGAAGGAGATTCTGGATCCGATATATTTCTGACGGATCGTTTCTCTGGACGTCAACTGAAGTCCGTCAACGCCAGCCGTCTCTATGGACCAGTCCGGAGAGAAGCTGTGAAAAGAACAAACCAAATACACACTGTCAATCGAGAAGCTGCTAGGAAAGATTATATTGACCAAAAATTCAGCATGAGAGAAGAGCCTCTGAAGAAGAAAAAGAAGAAGAGGAGGAGGCGAGAAGCCCAATTTGACCAAATGAATTTTGACAGAATGCAGGGTATTTTCACAACAATAAAAAAAATAAACAGAGAAAACTGCAAAACTTTCTCCAATCGCGCCATGCTTCTGCCTGGGGACGTAGGTTATGGGGCATCAACCCAGTTTGACACCCAGGCCCGATTCGCTCTTAGAATTTCTCACCTACTTAGTAACTGGTACCAAAACGTCATCCCAGGCGAAAACTTTGGTTACTTGAAAGGTGGAAACCGAATTCACAACGAACTGTTATTTGGTGAGGTGTTAGCGAACGTGATGGGAGACCACAAGGTCCTCTCCAGCGGAATCTACTTTGAGCCGCACGTATTTGAGGATTGGGATGGAAAGACAAGGGAGTTCTTCGGTCCTTTTGCTTGGAGACGAGACAAAAGTGTGTACGCCATCGATACAGCAGGATTTAAGTCCAGATATACTGATGAAGATTGGTATGTTAGAATCCGACAACGCTGGCAAACTAATACTGGTGGTGTTTTGAAGTATAGGATGAAGGCAAAGGTATATCGAATGGAGGATAACATCAATATACACGATTATTTATTTTAGAAAGTTAAGTGTTAAAAAAATGATGTCATCAAAATTGTACATCTCAAAGGGTTTTGCTATCTTTTCATAGTAATGATCCCTTGAATTTGCAGGTGCGATCTGACATCAATGGTACAAGTTCCGTGAACTTCGAGTATTACCCGATGGGATACAAAGCCCCCAGTGTCACACATGGAATCTGGACTCAGCCATACTTCCGGTGTGACGGTCGCGTGGATGCCTGGATAATGACGTATGCTGTTCCAATCATCGGTTTGGATCGTCTTAGGACAAAACTGAAATTTAAGTAAGTCAATGATTGTGTGATTTGTGTCTACATGAAGTGGCGAAAAAATCAACTAAAATTAAATCAAAAGGTATGCATTTTTGACGTGTTTGATATTTTTCTGCAGAGGAGTGGTAACCGTGGATGTTCCATTACAAGAACTAGAAATCAACCAATGTTATCAAGGATTTAACATCCAGAACGCCTTCAAAAACACCGCTAGATGTCATTACCCGTCCCAAACAGTGAGTTACTATTAGTTGTATGAGGAGAAGTTCAAGTGGTGGCCCTTAAAAAACCCCGAAAATATACAATTATATATTTACATACGTTTTTGCTGAAAATCAGCACAACCGGAATTATGTCTTTTTTTTAAAAAAAAAAAAAAATGGACCCTCAACTAAAAAAATCAGATATCTCAAATTAGAACTTTAGAATTCTTAATGCCCCTTGTCATGCTTGGTTGCAATGAATGTACCGGTATGAACCCGAATCTAGAAAGTCCATAAGATTAATTGCCAGGGAAATCTCAGACACTGCTGTCTAGGTAGACATGGTTTAATCTGGTCATCATTTATTGGACCATTAAAAGTGGCAATATTAGTTGACTACAGAGGGCATCAAACAAACCTGGAGAGCTCTTCACAGGGCGTGGAGCTAGGTCATTTTATAAAGGTCACCTTACGCACATTTTGTGGTTTAGCGATATTTCAAACTCTCTCTCTCTCTCTCTCTCACACACACACACTCTCTCTCTCTGTCTCTCTCTCTCGAGAGAAAACCTGTTGAAGTTTTAATCATGTATATTTACAGCATGGGTTTATACTGCAGAATCATTAAGTTGTCGTACATTGAATGATATTTTCAACTTATTTCCTTACTTTCAGCATCTTTCTTTACCTTTTTGAATAACTCACTGGTCACAGTGATTAATAAAAAGTGGTATTTTACACGAAAAGATGTAAATACCAGCTGTCGATAAAACACATTTCAAAAATGATAAAGAATTGGCTTCACAATGCAACCGAAAAAATTACCCTGTCAATATATTTACGCATCATTTTTCTAAATTAAACAATTAGTGTAAAATAATGGTTCAACCATTTTATACATCTGCCTGTTAAGCTTGGTTCGAGGGTTTGTTCTTTTCAAAATACTGAAGTTCAGCATAAAATATTGGCCGTTTTGTAAGAATAACAATTTTACAGAATGGAAACTATGGTGCAACTTATGACGTCATGAATCAGATAGAGACTTTGAAGAAAATTCCAAAAATACGTTACTTGTATGAGATATGCTATCACTGAGGGCCCAAATAATAGTTTAGAGTTGTTTAATAAAAATGTTAAAGTCTCGATATTTTTTTTTTCAAATTTACAGGGCAATTAGTAAAAATCTACCTCTATCTCTAATGAAAACGAGTTGAAATTAAGTTTTGACTTTTTTTTCTTTCAGTGTTCCCCTATAGCAGGCTACAAGTTCTCCCGAGGCGCCTATAAGTGCGCCTGTCGTCAGGGTTACGAGTACCCCTTTAAGGATGGACGTAACTTCTTCCAGGGTTCTCTAGTGGACATTGAATACGAAAAGAAAATGGCCGGCCTCTTTAATCTGTGAGTAGTAAGAGATAATCTGTGGGGCATTGCTAAATCACGGGGCGGGAAACAACCGAATGGCTAATTTATAAATATTCGCTAACTAGTTTATAATTGATAGTTTCATAAAGCCGTTTACAAAATCTACACGTAAGCTTAAGAAACTTCAGAATTTTACAGGTAATAGGGACATGCTTCCTTATAAAGCTTTGCTTTAAGTTTTTCGACTTTAGTTTGGTATAGTGGCATATTTCTGTCTCCTGTATGCAAGTTCTTTTATCTATAGATTTTGTTGACATACAAAATAATTATGTCAGCATGAATATGTCATCTTGCAACATAACGCAGTTGACATTCAAGATAAATGTAATCAATAAGATATTTTGAAAATTTTCCAGAATTATCAAATACCCACATGTGACATAGACATACTAGACGAAACTTATTTATGTTGACATGCTACTTATTTATGTTGACATGCGAGATAAATATGTTGACATGCAACATATTTATGTTGACATTCAGCATATTTATGTCAACGAGCAACTTATTTATGTTAAAATGCGAGATACACAATACATACAAGATACACCAGCTCTAGTACATACCACTACATAAAACATGTTTGTTTTTATGAAAGTTACTATTAGGGATATAAAGTGCCATCACATCTTACTTGTTCTGACAACAATTATGTACCCGATGGTCCTTAAAAAATCTATCCTGGAAACTTCGTTTTTTACATATTTTTGTATATTCGTCACAAAAAAGATAACTTTTTTTCTTTAATTGTTACTCTTTCGTTCTGCTAATTGTTACTGTAAGATATTTAGTTCGGACTTGTGTTGTTTTTTGAGTATTCATAACACATCAATGAATTTATTACCCGGGGTCAGCTCATCGCGACGGGTAAATTGCAGAACGTAATGCTTGGAGGATACTTCCCCAAATTTGGAAATAAATCATTTTTATTTTGTCCGCAAAACGTTTTATTACGTTTCCGCAAAACATTATATAGCTTATATTGTACTTGATCAAGCCAACATATTTATCTTTCAAGTCAACATAAATAAGTTGGATGTCAACATAAATAAGTTGCATCTAGCATGTGGGAAGTCACATGTTGGCAATCTTTGATAATTTTGGAAAATTTCCCAAATTCTTAATTGATTACGTTCTTCTTGCATGTTAACATAGTTATTTTGCATGTTGACATATTTATGCTTCATGTTGACAGAATAATACTGCATATATAATCTATTGAAAAACTGTGCAAGAAGAAAGTAATCAATTGAGAATTGATCTAGGTTTCCATCAAGGATCGACAATTTAAATTTACCATTTTCAAGTGGAGACAATACATCTTTACTTAGAACTCGTACCTATTAATATATCTACATTTACATATACTTTACTTTTATATTAAGGTATACTAATTTAAAGGTACAATAGGTTTGTTAAAATTCTGTAATCTTGTGTGATTAATGATTTATAAATGTTCCTTGTCTAATACTGTTACTTTTAAAGATTTGAGCTTTTAGATTTGTCTTGACACTACCTTACTTGTTTCAGGTACGACTCGTTGAAATGCAGAACACAGGGTGTCTCCATGGTGATATGCAATACCGTTACTCTGGTTGTCATGTTAGTTATTGCTGTTTTCAGCAAGAGTCTTTGAATTTCGTTGTGTCATATTTAACTAGAGTCCTGCCAAATTGTCATCTCATTATTAATATTAGTTTTATCATTTCTCATTTATATCCAAGAAAGTGAAATACATGATTGATATTATTGAGTATGAATGGCATTATTCATTGTATTGAATGCTTATATATATATAAGCTGTGCGATTGTATTGAATGCAAAATGCATGATCCATTTACAAATATTTGTTCATACATATTTTACTTTGATATATTTTTACATTTTCGTTATGTTTTATTTGTGGGGAAAGTCGACTTTAAACGTTTGAGATTTTTTTCATAGTAAATCAAGACAAGGATAGCCTATGATGAAATCCATTACATGTTATATTTATTCTTATTATTTTCCATAATAACAATCAACGTGAGATTCAGTATTGATCAATGAAATCCAGTTTCGTTAGCTATATACATTTAAAGTATTTATGCAATAAACAGTATATTTACATTTGATGTTTTCCCTTTTATGTTTCTATATAAACTTCTCAAGACCTAGTTGTTAAAATGTCAGTAAATAGCAAATGTAACGTCATTGTGTTAAATAAGTTACAAAAATAATTTTGAAAAATATTAAGTTTCAATTATATTGTTTATCAAATGAAAGCGTTCTCTCTCTTTCTCTCTCTATATATATATATGAACTTTACGTGTAAGGAATCCCACAGATAAGCATGGCCGTCGCGCACACAATTTCTTTATGCACTTAACATTGTCTTGTTATGAATATTGTGTGCAACATTTGCATTACATCTTCATCATGTTTCCTCAAGTCAAGAGATTCTGATGCTCTCCCCTCCACAAAAACCCATGACCGTAAAGACTTAGTTTAACTGGGGGGGTTATTAACTATCGCGCCATCACATTTTGAACTCTACTGACCTCTGCTATTGACTAATCAGTATAAGCGAAGTACACAGAGAATGTAAGACAATATTGGAAGTCGGTAATAAATTCAACATAACTTTAACTACAAAGCTGAGACAAGCCTTTAACTGTGTTATGAAACGGAAAAGTTTTCTATGGGACTAAAACTGGAGTGTTTTTTAGTTTACGATATAGTTTCAGGTTAAACAAGCAAATTCAAAGATGGTGGTCCCCCCGCTTTTGGTAGTCTTAGTAGATGGGATGGGTCATGAGGTCAAATATCATAATACAAGCTGAAAGGTCTTGTCAGAGGTAATACACATGTGAAAAAAATATTAAAAAACCAGAGTATACAATCGGAAAGGTCTTGAAACAAGTAATGCACATGTCACATGTAAATGCCATATCTTCTCTCAATCAAAAGCTATCAACAATGTTACAATTTTTGAAAATTAGGTCAAACTTCAAGGACATGGGGTTAAAAATCATAGTACATTTGGAAATGATTGTCACATGTCAAATATGAATGCCCAATCTTCGCTCCTTCAAAAGTTAGCAACGCTGATGGAATGCTTGAAAATTAAGTCAAACTTGAAGATCAAAATCACTGGGTCAAATATCACAACACATTCGGAAACATTTTGACACAGGAATTGCACTTATCAAATATGAACGCCTTTTCAATTGTCATTCAAAAGTACACGTAATCACCGAAGTTAAATTTTTGAAAATTAGGTCAAAAGTGAAGGTCAAGGTTAAGGGGTCAAAAATCATAGTATGCTCGGAAACACCTTGTTATAGGTAATGCATATGTCAAATATGAAAGCCCTATCTATTCTCAATCAAAAATTAAAATGCAAAGATAAAATTTTTGAAAAGTAGGTCAAACTTTAATGTCACGGGAGTAAAAACCATAGTATATTTGGAAAGGTCTTGTCACAGGTAATATACATGTGTGCTATGAAAGCACCATCTTTTCTCATTCAAAAGTTATGACCAATTTAAAGTAATGTTAAACTTTTTGAAAAGTAGGCCAAACTTCAAGGTCACAGGGTCAAAAATCATAGTATATTTGGAAAAGTAATGTACATGTGAAAAATGAAAGCCATATCTCCTCGTATTCAAAAGTTATGACCAAGTTTAAAGTTTTTTGTGACAGACAGACTGACAGACGGAGAGACTGACAGATGGACAGACTGAAAGAAGAATGATATTGAATGCCCCCTCACTTTCGCAAAAGCGGGGGGCAATAAACAATGTTTTTTATTGGCCCATGCAAACTCTTATGAGGCCAATCAGAGAGTTCACTTCTAACCCCGTCAAATTGTCTATATGTGGAACGGAGGGGATCAGAAACCCTGGACTTTGGAAGGTGCATCTCCATAAAATAAATTAATTTGATTGCAAAATGCAAAAAAGCAGGGAACTGTAAAATCAAATATAACTTTCAAGTGCAACTGAAGCACATAAAAGATTAAATGACTGATAAGAGGAAATCTTTACAGCATGAGTGATTCATTTAAATATAAGGGTAGTGGGACACATAAGGTATATTTGATCTTGTCTCAAATTTTGTGCAGTTTTGCAGACAAATATGTTTACAATTAATGACATTATTTAAAATTTAGGTTAAAAGTGTGAATTATGGTGTGAAATATGGTCGTTCATGTACAAACATGTCCAAAAAACTGCAGATCACACCGTACCCGGACACCTGCAATATACGAAGAAAATAGAGGTCTTTTTAAAATGTTTAGTATGCAACATAGAAAATATAGTAACCCTTTATCTGAGATCATGATCCAAATTTTGCATGTAAGTCTCAAAAGTGATTATTTGGATTTTATTTCTATAGTAATATTTACTATTATTGTAATAAGAAATTTTACTGTCTAGTTGCTTTTGTCTATGTCAGACAAATTCGAAATTGTTATTTTCCTGTTCATAGAGTCGAACAAAAAATGTAATTCCTGAATACTTATTATTTCATTCTTTTGTTGTAAAAAAAAAAATCATGCGTTAACACAATGCTACTTTGAAATTCCTGCATCAGGTAGACCAAAGACACTTTCGTTTGGATTTCACAAATGCAGAGAAGCAGTAGTAAGTGAATTTATTACAAAGGTAAAATTCATTTATTAGACACATACATGTCTAATTGCTAAGTAGTGTTTTTATAACTGCTGCTTTTCAATAATATTTTACTTTCTCGCCAAATTTAGTACAAGTATGTACATATGTAATCTGATGGTATTTATAGGTATCAACAATTGCTCAGGCTATGAACACGACACGAAATACATTGTACTTATTCCTAAATGTACTTAAGGACTGATAACACTATTACTTGACTCAGAATTCAGATAAGTAATCTAATTAAATGCTGGGATGTTTTAGTGGAATGCTCGATATGAAATGTGAGTACTGTTTGACTTACCATCTTAATTTTTATTTTTATTTTTGGCAGTGATGTCCTTATTTCTTCTGTTCGATTTTTTCTGCTTCTCACTGTCAGACTGGCTCATTTTATTTGGAGCATTTTGAATTAAATATATGGAGATAACGAACAGTATTCAAGCTCAAAAGTCCATTATGCAATACAAATTTTGGAATAGAGTAAACACGGACTTCTAAAACATCAGAGGTGGGATCAGGTGCCATGGAGGAGTGAGCATCCCCTGCCGACCGGTCACACCCGCCATGTTCTCCTTATCATGATCGGGAAATAACGGAAACATCCGTCGACAATTCAGTGTGTAAATAATGGCTTAACAATTGATATGAAAAACGTCAATCAGCAATTGACTTAATTATAAATTGCATTTGCTGACAAGGTTATTGTATCGACTAAAGAACTTACGAAATGACTTTAAACGAGACTGCTGATATTCTTATTTTATAAACTTGTTTGTCAATGACTTACCTCGTTTTAGAAATTGTTCATACTTAAAGCAAGTATTGCGTATCGAATCAACTGAGAGATATAAACCCCTTATGCAGGTGATGAAGGTATATTGCTGCACAAGTAGGAAGTTTACGATTGAAAAGTTAAAGTCATCACGTTTATCATAAAGCTTGGTTGTTAGATTACCATTAACGTCTTTTTCAAGTAAAATATCCAAATATGAAACAGATGTGTCAGACACTGTGGTATCTTTTATTTCAAGCTCACCGGGATATATCGTATCGACATAAGAAATAACCATTTTCAATTGATAATACGTCGTCGATATATCTAAATGTTGAGTTGAAGGCCACAGCAAGTGTTTTCTTCTTTTTAAAGGATTTTGAACAAATTCTGCTTCATATGAATACAAAAATAGGTCTGCTAATAACGGGGCGAAATTGATACCCATGGGAATTCCAATAGATTGTTGGAAGATCTGGTCTCGAAAAACCACATAGATATTGTCAATCAGAAACTCAAGCATCTTTTTTAATATCAACTTCAGAGTACTTGTGTGTACAATCAGAATCTTTATTTAACAAAATAATTTTGCAAATGACCAATGACAAGGTAAGTAAATTTACGAGTTCCATTTTTATTGAAAGAGCAGCTGTCAATGATATCAAAAAGCTTTTAGTGAGGAGTAAAGAAGTAGCAATAGGTAGTGCTAAATTTCTACAGCTTTTCTTGGAATATTCTAAATATCTTTTTCATAATTCTCATTGCCTGGTTAGAGTATGATCCATTGGTCATAACTTTTGAATGAGAAAAGATAGGGATTTCATATTTCAATGTTCATTACCTGAGAAGAGATCTTTTCAAATATACTTTTCAAAAATTTTAACATTGGTGATAACTTATGAATGAGAGAAGATATTGCGTTCAAAATTACCTATGAGAATACATTTCCATTTGCATTATGATTTTTGACCCCGTGACCTTGAAGTTTGAGCTAATTAAAAAAAAAAAATTAACATTAATTATAACTTTGGAATGAGAGAATATATAGGGTATTCATATTTGATATGTGTATTACATGTTACAAGACCTTTATGAATGTTTTATGCTTTGCGAACCTTAACCTTAAAGTTAACCTACAGTTCTTTTGAAAATTTTAACACTGGTAATAACTTTTGAATGAAAGAAGATAGGGCATATCATTACTGTGACAATACCTTTCAGAAAGCATTAGATGCAACGTCAGGAATTCCTACTCAACGTTGTAACGCCAAAAAGGCGTCGAAATGGATTGATTTTGACGTGAGGTATATAAAATGTATATTTCAAGAATAATTGATCATATTGAAGTAATAGTAATTTGTGATCAGAACAGATAGTTACTTAGTATCATTTTTGACTTTATGACCTTGTTATCTAAAATTTTAACTTTAGCAGTAACTTTTGCTTCAGAAGAGACTGGGTTTTCATACTTTTTTCATATGGACATAACTTGTGACAAAACCTTTCAGACTGTATCATGATATTTGACCTCATTACTTTGATCTTGAAGTTTAATGCAGTTTAACGAAACTTTAATCTTTACCGTAACTTTTATTAATTAAAAAAATATCTTTTTTGTATGATGGGAAGACAGGACACACAGACAAGATAGTTACAATATGCCATAAATTATTGCATCCCAACTGAAACCGGGGGGACCACAATTCTTTTGAATTTGCTTGTTTAAAAAAATACAAGAAAATGAATGACTTTTCAATGAAGAAAACGCCAGAGATACCGAGGCTGTCGTTAATGAATTGACAAGGAAATGTCATACTGATATTATACACGAGCTTCTTTTGAAAGGTTCAATGTAAAAGTAAATCAGCTACTGGCAATACTGACCTTTCATGAAATCAAAAATATTTTGAAAATGATTTTACCTTTACACATTATAAAATTTTGTAAATCATATAACATTTATATGACCAATACCGATAAAAACATTTAATTTTCGACTTGAAATTTAAAGTCTGTATTATTTTGGAATTTAAAATATCTTTTTTGAACATAAAGTATCACGTTTGTTAAAAAAAATAGCAGTTTTATTATGTTTTCGAACACGTTTGTGTGTATATACTGTATACATATAAATTGAATGCTGTAATTAACATGCAGTATGTAATACTTGTATGAAACATCCCCTTGTACGACAGACCTAGCTTTGTCTAGGCAATGATCCGACAGGGGATTGGATTGAGCCGAATCACTTGTTCAAGATTCAAAATAAACTATTCAAAATAAGCTATAAAAGGGTACGAATGAAAACTGAGCTGTGATTAGTCAGAAAAAAATATCCTCAAGTATTGCAAATATCAAATCCAAATCTTGACAGATTACAATCTGTGCCATACTTCCAACATCATCTAAGTGGAGTATATTCCATGCAGGCAAAAAGGCTGTAGCCTTCACAACTTTTTCTCAAAGATTTTTCATGAGATCTCAAAGAACATATTAAATACTGTGGTCTTCAATGTAGAATCGTTTAAGGAAGTATGCCCCCTCTATATTTCTACATTAAAAAGCGATCCCTTGAAATGGACCAGCAACAAATTAAAATTCTAGGGGAATTTGATATCACGAAAATAGATGCCACTTCGGAAAGTGATCCATCATTTTTGTGATTTTCCGTCGCTTGTCCTCGGTAAGTTTGAGATCTTTTTTTGTATTCATATGAAGCAGAATTTGTCCAAAATCTTGTACGTGAAAAGAAGAAAACACTTGCTGTGGCGTTCAACTCGACATTTAGATATATCGACGACGTATTGTCAATTAACAATGGCTATTTTCATTCTTGTGCCGATACGATATATCCTGGTGAACTTGAGATAAAAGATACCACAGAGTCTGACACATCTGTTTCATATTTGGATATTTTACTTGAAAAAGACGTTAATGGTAATCTAACAACCAAGCTTTATGATAAACGTGATGACTTTAACTTTTCAATCGTCAACTTCCCTTACTTATGCAGCAATATACCTTCATCACCTGCATACGGGGTATATATCTCTCAGTTGATTCGATACGCAAGAGCATGCTCTACGTATGAACAATTTCTAAAACGAGGTAAATTATTGACAAATAAGTTGATGAAACAAGAATATCAGCAGTCTCGTTTAAAGTCATCATTTCGTAAGTTCTATGGTCGATACAATGACCTTGTCAGCAAATACAACTTATCATTGAGTCAAATGCTGACTGACGTTTTTCATACTAATTGTTTGGCCATTATTTACACACTGAATTGTCGACGGATTTTTCCGTTATTTCCCGATCATGACAAGGAGCACACGGCGGGTGTGACCGGTCGGCAGGGGATGCTCACTCCTCCATGGCACCTGATCCCACCTCTGATGTTTGGAGGTCCGTGTTTGCTCTGCTCCTATTTTTTATTGTATAATGGACTTTTGAGCTTGAATACTGTTCGTTATCTCCATATATTTCATCTAGAAATAAGGACTAATCCCTCAAACACCTGGAAGCTTATGGACTTGGAAAAATCGTGTGATACTGGTTTGTTTCAAGTTGAAACTAGTATATCCAATGGATCTGAGAAGAATTGTTTGGAAATGAATGAAAAATAAAAGCAATTGGGTTGAATTTCTTAATCAATGGTTACAACTATTATTAACTTTAGAAGATCTATATCAAGATTTCTACGAATCCTTTTCAGGGGCCTTGATCTGTAAGATATGACATTGAAACAAGAACATGACAAACATACTCAATTCTGAATTCTTGTCATGATTTCACTATCATAATGTCTGGTGACCTTGACCTTTGAGTAATCACCTTTGTCAGGGTAATTAATTGATTTCCGAGAAAACTCGCATATTTGAGAAACTAATGCAAGATTGATCCTCTATTTTTATTAGGTCCCACGAGAGGTTTCGCGCTTGCTACATGGTTCGCTATGGTGACGTACACTGATTCCATTTCAGTAAGTGAGTACACATTAGAAACCATTTTGTTTTTACAACTCATAAAAAAAAAGTTTTATTTTTATCAATAGTCGGCTTAGAAGAGTCTTTATGAGGCAGACTGAGGTCTCTAATCTTAGCCTTGACCTCAAGATAAGACACTTGACCTTTGACAAAACTGCTTCCATGCTATATTCGTCACGTATATCGTCTAACTTTTCATGCTTTCTATCAATTCTTGTACATTGTCGTTTGCTTGTCACACTACGAGATCGTCAGACAGTTCGTTAACATGTCATTCGTCACGTATGGATCATATTTTCTTTTCATTGACCCCCTAGGTTATTGGGCCCACTTGCTTCAGATGTGATCGCGAAGTGCTTCCTACGACGTGCTCTTCTGTTGTTACATGTGGTCCACATGAGGTATATTTTGACATTTACTTCTTTAATTTTGAATGATGAAAATATTTATTACCAGTCGTGTAGGTGTACAGCAACAATAAGCTGATGAAAGCTGTAGTGCTAATTTTCCTTGCGTCATGGAAAGAATAAACATCAATGGAATGTTCATCCCTTTCGATTCAAAGAGGACAACAAACCGGGAATTTTAGCAGGTTTATAATTACCGTAAAGTTATTAAATGCAATTAATATTTGTTTGCTAGTTTCCTTTTAAGATACTGTAAATCACTTTTTATTCGCGAGAACTTTATTTATGCGAGACAGTGTGCTCGCGAAAATTTCATTCTCGTGTATATTAGTATTCCTAAAGATTATACATAGCAATAACAACAATTCATGAATATTCTGTCTCGTTAATAAAGAGTCAATGACTATCTTGCGAAAATAAGGTGGTTTTTTTTTTTTTTTAGTTTTTTAGAAAATTTAGTGATCTACAGTATTTGAAAAAGCATCATGTAAGAAAATGTTTGTTTGTTTTTTCTTAAAATCCAATTAGACTCCATAATACTCCACACCATTATTATTTCTTTATAAAATCAGTGGTAAAATTTAACTAACTTCTAAATACTTATCCCTCCATAGGAAATTTTTTTTGAAATATGTGACAGTATTTCGTTGGCTATCATAAATATTAAAGAAATGTTTTAAGTGATTGTTGCAATAATTCTGCAATCTCAATTATTCTGCCTAACTGATGTACTTTAAAATTCTTACTTTTGATGTTCCTCATAAATATATACATTTTTTAAAAATCACTTTTTGCAGTTTTTAAGAAATCTTTTCTCAGAAGTCCAAATTAACATGGCTAAACTTACTCATTTTACGCCAGAAACGGATTGCTATAAAGTGCAATATAGTTCTAAATGAACAAAATAGCTATGTTATTAATCAATATCAGTATCAAATTTAATGTTTTACTTTTTGAAGAAAATATGCAAGAACAAACGTATTTATGGTGATGCAGAGAAAATTTGAACTAAATTTTAAATTTTCATTTTCTCCAAATATTGTTTTCTTACAACGTTATTCAGAAATTTAAGATTAAGTTAAGATTAAGAAATGAAAAGTTAAGATTTCGTTTTTTTAAAAATATTATTTTTGCAAATATTTTGAGTGTTAACGCTCATGTATTATTTCAAATTATCAAATGACATGCAGTGAAGAAATTATATCAAAAATTTAAAGGAAAAACAATTCCAGATATCATATCTCAAGAATTTGATCATTGACCTTGACCTCATATCTATGTTCATGCTTTTTGAGAAAAAATGTTTGATTTTAGCAAGTGTCTTAAAATTTCAGATATGTGCGATCGAGAAAGGGGTCGACTTCTTAAACAATGATGTCTTCTGGTCCGGCTGCAAAGACAAAAGAGTAGGCCTAAATAATCTGACAATACAAGCTAATGATTTAAACTAGTACATATAATGCATCATCTCATTCATCTGTGTTATTTACAATATGACAAAGCATAGCTGACTTATTTCAATGATAAAGGCACACATGCATTATTTTAGGACTGTGCCAGTAACAAAAGAAGAAACTCACCCGATGACGTCACTGTCACGTGCTCAACTTGTTGTGATGGCAACTTATGTAACTCTGAGGGCTGTGGGAAAGCAGGTTTGATGAAATAAAAAAGGGAAAATAACATTTATATTTTACATATATATATCTTTCTTTATGGACAGGATCTAAATAAATCTTTTTATTAAACGAAACAACAGGATTTCCACAAGGTGGGCTCCATGTTTGTTTTAACTGCGCCAATATGACGTCATCATCCAATTGTTCCCGTGTTGCCATGTGCCAAAAGGACGAGGTATTTAATTAAAATAAATAATTTATGATTTTTGTTTTGTGGAAATTAAATTATTCGCAGAACAGGACATTTTCAAATGTTTTCACTGAAGACCTTCACAATTTTCACGATGATACTATATATATAAAAATATGCTACACTGTACAATAAGAGAACCACTACATCTAAGGCAAGGTAGGAGTTGATGTGATTGTTATAACGTAGTAATCAGTTTATGTAAATTTCAACAGGTTTGTTACTTTGAAGAAGTGCCACACAAACACAGTGTTGTCTACCGTTCCGGTTGTAGAAACTTGCCGGTAACTTATCATAAATACAGTAATTTAGGACACATGCTACAAACAAAAAAAAATCGATGCATGTACCGGATTGGTATGTATTTTTGGACTCACAAGTGTATTTGGGTTGTAAATGATCTATACATAAAATCTCTAAAATATTAAGAAATTGTAAACTTTCTATGTTGTTCAAATTTCAACCTTTTTGCCACCATTTATTTAAATCTATACAAGAATCTTTCATCACTTTATGGAACATTACTGAGAAACTTCGAATGAAATGAAACGTCTATCTTATTCATTTTACTTATAATTAATTGTTATTTTCATGATTTCGGAATAAAACGTTTGTATCATCTCTCCTTAAAACAGTTTTATATTCCAAAGTTTTGATTTATGCTTACATTTATTCATTTACACTTCGCCATCTTGGTCACTTCAGCTTTTCAGACATATTATTCATGCGACTTGGATATACATGCAATGTGTCTAAAGATAAGTATTTTTTTTTCAGGACTGTAAAACGAGTCGGTCATGTGGAGGTTGTTGTCTTGGAAATTTTTGTAATTCTGGGTGTAATCCGTACGACAACCTTAAGCCACCTTACCAATACGTCACACTGACGAATCCCTCAGGACTGGCGTGGATAACGATCCCTCCTCAACAGTGATTGGTCAGCTGTTATCCCCATTATATGAAACACAACCATTCTTTGTTGCGTCACTTATTGTAAATAAAGGTTTCGGGATATACATTTATTTCCTACCATAAAAATAGTTTTAACCTTCTTCGAATGTTTGATGGAAACAAACTTTCAAGGGAGTGCAAAATTATCAAAGTATAGGAAATTCTGTTTCAGGATGCTTTGTAGGGCGAAGTTTAATTTTCCTACTGCTCTTTAAATGACATTTCATTTCTAAAAGTAGGAAAGAAAAGTAAATAGAGTCTAAGCATTTCATCTTCACAACTCTAGACTGGTCTACTTGTTAACACCTGGTCTGAAGAAAACAGGTGCGCATAATGTTCTCCAGCTCAACAACATTTCCTTCATTTAATGCGACAGGAACAGCATTTTCAACTAATACCAAGAGTAGCACTTTTATAAATAACATACAATGATCTAGAATCTGAATCCTGCATCAATATGTTGTCTACCTGTGTAGAAACCTTTTTTTTCAATTTTAACGTATGTCACTCGTGACATGATTCGTATCAAGTTTTTTTTTTTTTGAGAAGTATACATGTATTTTGATTACACATATAGCATGACTCAAAATCGCAAAGCAATGGTTTAATTAGCTTGATCTTGCACTTGAATTTTAATATTTAGGTTAATCACTTTAATCTTAGTCATATTTTACTGGATGTGATCACAGCAATAAATTTTTATTATTTATAATATTCGAGTAATATTTATTACTAAAAAAATCCTCCAAATTCATGTGCGTAAGTGTATGATCTTTCTGCACTACTACAATATCATTGGGGTAGTATCAAAAGTCGATTTTTTTGGCCATTTCTCATTGTTGTTGACGTGGTAATCCCCCTCCTCCCCCCCCCCCCAATTTCATCTTCAGAACCAATTTCTACCAAACTTGCCACAAAACAACTTAATGGTAATGGGGGATAAAAATTTGTTCAAATGAAGGACCACGCCCTCTCTCAAGGGGAGATAATTAAGAATAAGTGAAATTTTAACAGCATCTTTCAAAAATCCTCTTCTTAAGAACCACTGGGCCAGAAAATATAAAAAAGTGAAAGCTTTATTGCATAGTGTTAATTCAATTTAATTCAAATCATGATCCTTCTCGTAAAATTATATAATTTTATATATATATATATATATATATATATATATATATATATATATATATATATATATATATATAGCTATGCACTTCATATGTCTATAAAAATACTTCTAAGTTTAGAAGATTTTTATCGATGGTATGCAATTTTCACAAAATATTCCGACTTTACATTTAGCCCCACACTGGGGCCTGACTTTTCCATGCTTTTTAGTAAAGATATTTGAAGAAGTGCATTCTAACTACATACTATGTAACATCCATGTCCTTGCCAGGGCTGAGCCTCTTGGGCAGAGGTAAGGAATTTCTCAATTTATGTTGAGATCCCCTTCATGTTATGTCTATCATGCATTCAATTTGTCCCCAGTAGAAAATATATTTATATGTAAAATGCAATATCACAATACATGTACACATATACTGTACATGTTCAGAATTTACATATATGTAGCCCCACCCTGGGACCTGAACCCCTCAGGTAGGGGTAATGAATTTTTATTTGATATCAAGATCCCCTTGTTTCTTGACAAGTGTTCAGTTCATCTTCTAGACACTTGCAAGTAAAGAATCTCTAAATATGAAATACATTTAGAAATATACTATATATAGCCCTGCCCACTTTCCCAAAATATATAGAGTAAGACTGATATAAAAAAAAATACATAATGAGGTAGTCAAAGTTTTATGACCCAGAGCCAGAACCCCTTGGGTATGGGGTAATGAATTTCATTTTTGTTGATGCACCTTTGCCTTGTTATAACTATGCACCCAGTGTGGGTCCTTGATACTTAATAGAGATATTTTGAAATATAGCATACTTTTTTATTGTTATCTTGGCCCCATCCCATGATCTATGATGAGTTATGCTAAAATATTGACTAAATGTTTGTAAAATTATATTAAATATAAAATATTTATATTGATCATTGTGTCAACTTTACATAATTATGTGTAACTGTTCAATAATTGGATATACTGTTAATGCATTGATATTACAATAGCAAACAATTCATAAAAATAAAAAAAAATAAAAAAAATTTATTCCTCAATTAATAGCTGACATTTTCTGTTGTGTTTCACTGTTATCTTCATTTTTAACATTTTTTTCAACAGTTTTCTCTTTCCACAATATTTCATAATAACTGTCATTTAAATAAGCATCCCTCCCTTCATAAGCAGAGAATGTCTTGCCATGCAATAGAACTTTGTGGGGTCCTTCTTCCCTATTAGGTTGAAATTCCTCTTCACTGAAATGAGTTGGCATGAAGTCCTGAAGGCCTGCCAGTGTCATCGCTGTGTAGATTTTCTGCTGTGGTTCATAGTAAATAAAGAAAATCCTCTTCTTCATGCCTGACATTACTCTATAGAAATCTGACACACAGAAGGCTGACAAAACCCCAGCTAAAGCTACTTGGGCATAAATACTGTATGGCAGAAAGTACGCCATTACACAAGAGGCTGGAATACCAAACATAGGAATTTGTTTTCTTGTTTTCATAAACTGTAAAACTTCTTTTCCATACGGGTCAGCATAGATCAGTTTCCCAAACTCTTCATCACAGAACTTGACATTGGCAATGAGAGCTGATATCATTAGGTGCTTTTCCCTAGGGGTTAGACTAGGGTCATTGACAATATGGAAATGAAGCTGCAATTTTTTATCCTTAAGGGAGAGAACTCTGTTCTTTTTTATATCGTCTGTAGATTTGTCACTGTAGTGCCTTGTTGAGTTAAATACACTGAAATTACTAAGCAGATTCACTCGATTACGCACACTATTCTGCATCAAGTGAGATGATGGAGACACCATCATCCTTCTTATTATAGTCCTTGAAGTGTTCTGCAACATATCTTTGAACTGAAATTTTGAGAAGAAATGTTCTCAAGTTAAAAGTGATCAAATAAACATTTCTGATCCTAGATATTAAACCAAGTAAGTACATAGTTATGATGAGCAAGGTGATATAGTATCTTAACAGAAGTTAAGAGGGTGTCAATTATTGTATAGTGTTAAAAAATAAACCAGTCCACCAAAGGTTGATTTGAGAGAAGCGGAGTTCGGCCGAGGATTGCCGATTGGTAATTTTCCCAAAGACAGCATCTCTGAGTTGTATAATGTATCGTGTTGTTTTTGGTACATGTAACTTGTTTTTGGACCAACCAACGTTAACCCTGAATAATTTATACATTATAATTTTTTTGGTTATCAATCAAGAAAATCATTGATTGTCACATAGTAATGATAGTTGCAGAATGAACATTATGAATGACTTTTATGAGAATGAAATCAATGTGTAAATTGTACGTTATTCCGAATTTTCTCAAATCATATGGACATGCTGAATCATAAATAAGCGGTGCCTGATAAGCGTAATCATAAGTTTTGTTTAAATTAAAAACAACGTTTAATATTAAAAGTGAAAAAGATACTACCTAAATTCTTTAGTGTACAAATTTCAATTATTAATTCATTAATTGTCCGATAAAAAAAATAAAGTAATTCCTCGTTTAGTATATTACGTATGGCGATCCCGATTAAAATAAAACTGAGAAGTCCCTTGGTTTAAAGCTAACAAACGGGAAAATAAACAAGAAACTTTGCAAATTCAATCACTATCTGACTCAAACGGTCGGTGCAATATTGGAGTTGAAAGCAGATTATGGAACTATTTTAAAAATTTGCAATATTTTGAAAAAGTATCACATTTTTTGTTTCCAAGGCAACGCTAGCCATTTTGGAAATATTAAACCAGAAATTTGTGGAGACTCCATCTTCGCTAGGCAAGGGTTTCTGATACGCTACTCTCCTCATAAGCCCTTGGGTTTATCAGGAGAGTAACGTATCAGAAACCCTTGCCTAGCGAAGATGTGGAGACTCTTACAATCAATATTTTGCAGTTTGAAATATCCTCGTGTACCCATATTTCGACAGTCTAACAACATGTGTCAGTTCTATATATATGTAACAGGAGAGGAGAAAAATGCAGCGGACCAGACCGGGATTCGAACCCGGGCCCCCTCAATCTCCAGTCAGGTGCTCTACAAACTGAGCTATCTGGCCACCGGCGATCGAAGTCCTCTGACCGCCACATATATTATTCACAGACACTTGATTCGGTAATATAATAAGTGTCTGTAATATTATTTAAGAAATAATGTCCGCGTTGGAGGAATTGTTGTTGGAGAATATACCCGGATTGTCGAGAGATTTTGTTGGTAAATAAAAACCGAGCCCGATTTTAATTTGATTGGCCAATTTTCTTGACTTGTAAAGAGTACTATGGTGGCATATTTCTGCCCCTTGTGTGCAAGTTATTTTTCTGTCAAATATGTCGACATGCAAGATAAATATGTTGACATGCAAGATAGTTATGCCAACATGCAACATAACTATGTTGACATGCAAGAAAATTGCAATAAAATAAGAATTATAAAAAAATCTTTAAGATATCTCAAAAATTGCCCACATGTGACTTCCAATATGCTAGATGCTACTTATTTATGTCGACATGCAAGTTATTTATGTTGACATGCGAAATAAAAATGTTGGCATGCAAGTTATTTATGTCAACATGCAACTTACGTATGTTAACATGCTACTTATTTATGTCAACATGCAACTTAGTTATGTCAACATGCAATTTGTTTATGTCAACATGTAACTTAGTTATGTTGACATGCGAGATAGATATGTTGACATGCAACTTAGTTATGTTGAGAAGCGGATATATATATATATATATATATATATATATATATATATATATATATATATATATATATATATATATATATATATATATATATATATATATATATATGATTTTAAAAAAGTAAATATCCAAAAATCTTAAGACTCATGAATCCCAAAAGAGTTTACAGTGAATATGATCGATTTGTGATTTCATTTTGGATATATACTTTTTAGAATATGATCAATTTTTCAAAATGATAAGATTTTGAATTAAATGATTAAATTTGAATGCAAAAGAAGTTATGTGATACACAATTTGAACATTTTTGCGAGCGTGCAGATTCGTTACTACCCAAGACACGTGCAATGAGGCACGGTTCTGTTTTATTTTTCTGTCGGTAAAATTGAAGTTGATTTTAATGATCGAAAATTTATTTAAGCAAATATTGCAGTTTAAATTATTTTCTATAATATGAGGTGGACAACAAAGCATAAATTGGATTTCCTTAGATAAAATGTCCTGGCGATTCAGAACGTGACCGTAGATTATAAAACGTTTTTAGGGCCCTTCTCTGCGGGCTACCTATAGTAATTAGTGTGTCCGTCCGTCCATCTGTTCGTCTGAGGTCTCTTTTAAAGGGTGTGCAGTGACCTTGAACTATGTTTTAAGGTCTAAGATCAAGTTCATAGCAGAACTGTATCTGAAAAATGCATGCAACATAAATAAGTTGCATGTCGACATAAATATGTTGCATGTCAACATATTTATCTCGCATGTCAACATAACCAAGATGCATGTCGACATAAATAAGTTGCATGTAGACATAAATAAGTTGCATATCAACATATTTATCTCGCATGTTAACATAAATAAAATGCATGTTGACATAAATAAGTAGCATCTAGCATGTTGGACGTCACATGTGGGCAATATTTGAGATTTTTGAAGATTTTTTATAATTTTTATTTGATTACAATTTTCTTGCATGTCAACATAGTTATGTTGCATGTTGACATAACTATCTTGCATGTCAACATATTTATCTTGCATGTCGACATATTTGATAGAAAAATAACTTGCACACAAGGGGCAGAAATATGCCACCATAGCGTACAGACGAACCAGCTCTACATACTTCTTTAAGGTGGCGGATGTCCACTCATACTACCCATAGTCCTCTGCGTCTCCGCACACAGAGAGTTGGTTTGGTACACACGAACTCTGGCGGAAGTTTGGATATCCACTATCTGGATTTCAGTTTCCTGCTGGGTTAAACCACAGGTGCTTGTGGACAAAACTCTGCTATTATGATGCACTCCCCTTTTAGTTTAAAAATAATTTTTTTTTTTTTTATAATTTTCTTTTATTTTTTTTCTCTTATCTAGATGTTCATGATCAAATATCACATCGATTCTAATACATGTAACATTCATTACCCATATATATATATATATATATATATATATATATATATATATATATATATATATATATATATATATATATATATATATATATATATATATATATATATATATATATATATATATATATATATATATAACCTTCTCTCTTTATACATACATATACTAGGGGTATACATACATACAAGTCATACATATGGGTAACGAATATTATTAGAATTTGCATCTGCGTCGGAATTTCAATGTGATTTTTGATCAGGAACATGTATATGAAGTAGTAATAGATTTAAAAAAAATAAAGAAAATTATATTAAAAAAATCATAGGGGAGTGCATTGTAAAAGCAGGGTCCTGTCCAAAAACACATGTGGGTTAAACTGCCTTCCTTCATTACTTTCTTGAGATTTTTTTTCCTTCTCTTTTTCTATTATCGGCTTTGGTTTCTGTACATGTATAACAGTTAAATTTTTACACATTTGATTGGTAACCCTGATTAGCAAAACCCCCTTTACAGGGACAAGCAGTGGTTTTTAACATAAAAGTATCAAGAAGATAATGAGAGAGAGAGAGAGAGAGAGAGCAACCATCGCCGGTTAGAGAGAGCGAGTTATGCTCGGTGGAACGTTAGAAACATTGTTCTGGAGTTTATTCACACACGTGTACATTGTCTTATTTTATTACGTCAAAATCATAAGATTAGTTGTTACTCCTTAAAATATTCGATTCTCTGTCTATTGTTTTGAACAGGAGGTCTTTCAACTCCATAGTATATTAATTTCACAGTTTATATGAAAACAATTTTTTATTTTTATAATATCGATGACCGATGAAGATATGCCCAGCAGATACTACTAGTAATACCATACTTGATCTCATACACAAAGTGGAGATGGTTTACCATATTTAAACTTTGTCAAAGAGATAAGGATTACTTTCCAGTATTTTCAGCATTTGGTTTCAGGTTCAAGTAGAAAGTAAAAAATAATATATCAAATCCCATTTAATTTCTATTTATTAAAGATCCAAAGACCTTCATTTTTGTCAAGTCCATTTGATTATTACTAGTACACGTATTTTAAAACATTTTACCTCCTGCAATGTATTATCATTATAGAAGCTAATGTACTTTACCAATATTTGTATGGAGGTTAATTCTATTATATTCATTCATATCACTCTTCAATAATTCAGTTTATCTAGAAATTCTGTATTCACCTTGTAAGACTGTCTTAACCTCTTCCTAGCACCACGCCCTGGCTACATGTAGGACCCTAGAGGTGTCCAAGGAAAATCATGTAGACAGAGTCCTTATGTCATGTACCGAAAACTTCATTATCTACTCAAGGTACTTAATACATTATACATTTAAAAGAAAGGATTCACATAAATGTTTGCAAAAGACACCACAATGTGTATTTCTATGTCCATTAAATATGAAAAAGAGATCTTTAAAGTTGTCTATGAAATATGAGACAAAGTTTACGTGCAGTTGTTTGTAAACATTGAATACCATTATCCATTTTTATAAGGAATGCTAGAAATAGACAACCACGTGATGTATTCGTTGACATTTCTTGCCTGTGAATTATTAACACTTGCAGTCCAAACATGTAGTATATAAAACGTTTACTCTCCACCAGAACCACATTAGTAACTTTGACTCTCAGAGAATTCTCTTACAATGAAATCAAACGATCCGCAAATTGCAGTTGATGAAATCTATCATCCTTTTCGTGAACATGCCAAAACTTTGGCAGCCTTCGATTTTAAGAAGTTAAATCTTCCACCTGTTCGAGTGCGGGCCTCTACGTTTTCTTGTAGACGTCCTTCCGTCAGAAGTACTCTGGTTACGGACGTACAGAGGGTACGTAACTTCTCCCTGTCTAACCTTGGAATCGAAAACAAAGGCGACAGCTTCCGAAACAGCTCTGAAATCGTGGGGTCGCCCGGAAAAACAAAATATTCAAGAAGGAGAAGAAGCCTGAAGAAAGAACAGCAGTTTTACCCGATCAGCGTGACAATTGATGAAAATAGCGACGATTTCATAAGACCCATATGTAACAGTATCGGAAAAGCCTATAATAGTAAAGGAGGGACTTTCAGAATTAAAGTCATCGGAGACAAATTGGTTGGGAAAACCATGATGGTCAAACAGATGACGACATCGGAGTTCGTCGGACTTCAAGAAATGACGGGTAAGCGACCGTTTTTTATTTGTTAGACGAGAGATAAAAATTGCATTTTGCATTCTTTATGTTGCTTGTTTATCAGATTCTAAAATTGATTTGTTCTTCTTCCAGAAAAATCTAATTTTACCACAATACCTGTGCACTTAGATGGAGAGGAATCCATTGTTGAGTTGGAGGAGGTTGAGTTTTACGAGGTAAGATGATCATGTCATTCAAAATTTGTTGCATTTTTGGGGGGTACTTATATTTGCAACACTGAGGATGTCTGTTTATTTTACAGCCATACAGACATACCGTCTATGTGGACGCTTTCATAATGATGTACTCTATATCTGATGAAGCCTCGTTCCTGTACGTTCTCCGCGAAGTTTCCCGACTGAGGGAAGCCCTGGACGTTGATCGTCCTATCATCATGGTGGCTAACAAAACCGACCTGAACCGAAACAGAGTGGTGTCTACTAAAGGTGTGTAAGCACAATATGACGTCATAGTTTTATCAGATAGTCATGCAAATATCCCTACGCACTACATATAGTTAAACGCAACATGTATGCTCTTATAATCGGTAATTTGTTCTCAAGGCATAGGACTTATAAAGACAGAGGTTATTAGACTTGGGGAAAAAATCTTGCATTAATCTCACTGATAAAACTTAATAATCATTTTCATATTCTCTGTATTTCAGAAGGTAAAACTGCAGCACAAGTTTTTAGCTGTAAATATGTGGAGACATCTGTTTCATTTCATGTGAAAATTGATGAACTTCTTGTTGCTTTGGTGCGACAAATACGACTCACACTTGACCCTAAGACTATAAATGGAAATGAGTACAGTAAATTAAACAGACACATTCCAAGAAGATTCGTCAGAGCACGGACATTGTTACACAGACTGTTTGGGAGGAAGTCAAAAAGCAGAAGGAATAAAGAAGTTTGTGAAGAAATATTCAAATTATGACGATTAAATTGTATATTTCTGTGATGAAATATCAATTGTTTCAAATTTACATGTTGGTATAATATATTAGCTATCGAGATGACTGGGGCTAGCCTTTGGGCCTCTAAGGAGCACAATCCTTATGGTGGCTTTGAAGGAAAGGTCTCGGACATCTTTTTTTGATGTTTTGTATTTTTTTTAATGTTCAGAAAACATTGAAATTATACCATAACGCATTGTTTATATGCTTTTAATAAATATAATGCCATGACTGACGGCTTAATTGCTTTCATTGTATGTTCTAGTCCTCCATTATTACTTTCTACATTATTATAATTGCTATTCAATGAATTTAAGTCAAAAACCCCAACGAAATAAATCAGTTTTGCTTTACCCTTTAAGTAAAATAAAGTAGTCAGCGTATGATCATTTTCCCTTCATTATTAGGTATACAGATGTAGGTAAGTAAGCCATACTGGGGGGGGGGGGGTTAACCCTATTTTGTTTTCAGAAATCATTATCTGGGGAACAGACTCCAGTTAAGATCAAGTTCGTTGCTGCTTTGAACAACAGATTTTTTCCCTCACTTCTTCTAAATACTATTTATAGTATTAAACATGGATATGTTTTTCTACCTCTTTACTACCTTCTTCATTAATGTGATTATGTCCACTTCCTCTTTATTTCTCCACTTCCTTTATTTGTTCGCTTCCTTTTTATTTCTACTTCTTCTTTATTTGTTCACTTCCTCTTTATTTCTCCACTTCCTCTTTACTTGTTCACTCCTTTTTATTTCTCCACTTCCTCTTTATTTGTTCACTTCCTTTTTATTTCTCTATTTCCTCTTTATCTGTTCACTTCTTTTTTTATTTGTTTACTTCCTCTTTATTTGTTCACTTCCTCTTTATTTGTTCACTTCTTTTTTTATTTCTCCACTTCCTCTTTATTTGTTCACTCCCTCTTTATCTGTTCACTTCCTCTTTATTTGTTCATTTCCTCTTCATTTGTTCACTTCCTTTTTATTTCTCTACTTCCTTTTTATTTGTTCACTTCCTTTTTAGCTCACCTGAGCCGAAGGCTCAAGTGAGCTTTTCTGATCACATTTTGTCTGTAGTCCGTCTGTCCGTCTGTCCGTCTGTCTGTCTGTCTGTCCGTCTGTCCGTCTGTAAACTTTTCACATTTTCGACTTCTTCTCAAGAACCACTGGGCCAATTTCAACCAAACTTGCCACAAAGTTTTCTTGGGTAAAGGGGATTCAAATTTGTTCAAATGAAGGGCCACGCCCTCTTCCAAGGGGAGATAATTAAGAATTCTTGAAAAATTAATGGCATCATTAAAAAATCTTCTTCTCAAGAACCATGGTGCTTGAAAACATGAAACTTATGTGGAAGCATCCTCAGGTAGTGTAGATTCAAATTTGTTCAAATCATGACCCCCGGTGGTAGGGTGGGGCCGCAATGGGCGATAAAAGTTTTACATAGGAAATATACAGGAAAAATCTTTAAAAATCTTCTTCTCAAGAACAGCAAACCCATACTTGGTCATATTTATATGGTAGCATCCTCAGATAGTGTACATTCAAGTTTGTTCAAATCATGACCCCCGGGGGTCGGGTGGGGCCACAATGGGCGATCAAAGTTTTACATAGGAATATATAGGAAAAATCTTCAAAAATCTTCTTCTCAAGAACAGCAAAGCCATGATTGGTCATATTTACTTGGAAGCATCCTCAGGTAGTGTAGATTCAAGCTTGTTCAAATCATGACCCCCGGGGGTCGGGTGGAACCACAATGGGCGATCAAAGTTTTACATAGGAATATATAGGAAAAATCTTTAAAAATCTTCTTCTCAAGAACAGCAAAGCCATGATTGGTCATATTTACATGGAAGCATCCTCAGATAGTGTAGATTCAAATTTATTCAACTCATGACCCCTGGGGGTCGGGTGGGGCCACAATGGGCGATCAAAGTTTTACATAGGAACACATAGTAAAAATTCTAAAAAAAAAAAAAACAATTTGTTAAAAATAGCAAAGCCATGATTGGTCATATTTATATGGTAGCATCCTCATATAGTGTACATACAAATTTGTTCGAATCATGACCCCCGGGGGTCGGGTGGGGCCACAATGGGCGATCAAAGTTTTACATTGGAACACATAGTAAAAATCTTTAAAAAAAAAAACTATTTGTTAAGAATAGCAAAGCCATGATTAGTCATATTTATATGGAAGCATTCTTAGATAGTGTACATTCAAGTTTGTTCAAACATGACCCCTGGGGGTCGGGTGGGGCCACAATGGGTGATCAAAGTTTTACATAGGAATACATAGGTTAAATCTTTAAAAATCTTCTACTCAAGAACAGCAAAGCCATGATTGGTCATATTTAAATGGAAGCATCCTCAGATAATGTAGATTCAAATTTGTTCAATTCCTGACACCCCCCCCCCCAACCACTTTTATATTTAAACTTTTCAACCTTTCAAGATTGAAGTGATTTCTGCCTTTTCCTAGCCATAGTGCTCAGGTGAGCGATGTGGCCCCTGGGCCTCTTGTTATTTCTCTACTTCCTCTTTATTTGTTCCCCTCCTCTTTATTTATTCACTTCCTCCGTATACTAATGTGGTTGTTCACTCTTTTGATACATTAACAAAATACGAGCTTGAAGCGGGGGTGCCTGAAATTGAGTTAAGAGCCCTCTATACACTGCACACTAGAGAGTTCTGATTTTGTGGTATTTTTATGCAAATAGAGTGATCTGCCCTTTGATCAAGAATAAAATAAATTGAAATGTACAATTTATTACTTAATTTGTGATCAAATCAAGCATTCATAACACTTTAATAGGCCAAGATGAATAGATAGAACACTTCATTTGCAGATATTTTGCCCACTTAAGTTAACAACAGTGATTTATGTTCATCAGTACTTCATTGTCTTTGTACATTTTTCCTGGGAGTAAATGCAAGGCATCCTATGTTGAGAATGTGATAGATAAGCTCAATACTTACACCTTTACACACTATAATTTTCTCAATGTCCAAAAAATATTTTCCTTTAGTGTATAGAGGGCCCTTAAGTATACCTAATGGGAAGAAAAAGAAGGGGGTGACTCCATATACGAAACAAGTGCCTGTGGTATTTTTACCTCATCTTTATTACTTAATACACTGTTGTGGGTATTTTCACTTCATCTATATTACTTTATTCATTAATGTTGGTATTTCACATCATTTTTATTAGTCCCTACCGGTGAAACCGGAGGGGATTATAGGTTTCCTCTGAGTCTGTCCGTCCATCTGTCTGTCTAACTGTCTGTCTGTCCCTCTGTCTGTCTGTCAGTCTGTCCCACTTGGTTTTCCGCACTTTATTTCTAAACGCTTGTAGATATTGAGCTGATTTTTGGTATGTGAGTGAATCTTGATGAGATTCAGGTCAAGTTTACATTTTGTTCCGCTTCAATGATTTTTCACGGAATTACGACCTTTTCAATTTTTCAGGGTTTTCCGCAATTTTTTTCTAAACGCTTGTAGATATTGAGCTGATTTTTGATATGTGACTTTACCTTGATGAGTTATAGATCAAGTTTGCATTTCGTTCCACTTCATTGATTTTTGACGGAAATATGGCATTTTCAGTTTTAACGGGAACCAGATTACACTTGCCGATAGGGGACTAGTATCGCTAATGCAATACTCTCAGAATGCTTGTTACTTTTTACACTAATTTGAGTATTTTCACTTCATCTATATTGTGTAATACACTAATATGGGTATTTTCACTTCATCTATATTAATATTTGCACTATTGACTAATGTGGGTATTTTTATTTCATCTTGATTGCTTTGTACACTAATGATGGTATTTCACATAATCTATATTAGTTTTTACACTAATGTGGCTATTTTCACTTCAGCTATATTACTTAATACAATGCTGTGGCTATTTTCACTTCATCTATATTACTTAATACACTGCTGTGGGTATTTTCACTTCATCTATATTACTTAATACACTGCTGTGGGTATTTTCACTTCATCTATATTACTTAATACACTAATGTGAGTATTTTCACTTCATCTATATTACTTAATACACTGCTGTGGGTATTTTCACTTCATCTATATTACTTAATACACTAATGTGGCTATTTTCACTTCATCTATATTACTTAATACACTAATGTGGCTTTTTTCACTTCATCTATATAAGTTTTTTCAGTAATGTGGGTATTTTCACTTCATCTATATTACTTTTTACAGTAATGTGAGTATTTTCACTTCATCTATATTAATACACTGATGCGGGTATTTTCACTTCATCTATAAAACTTTTACAGTAATGTGGCTATTTTCACTTCATCTATATAACTTTTTTCAGTAATGTGGGTATTTTAACTTCATCTATATTACTTAATACACTGCTGTGGGTATTTTCACTTCATCTATATTAATACACTGATGCGGGTATTTTCACTTCATCTATAAAACTTTTACAGTAATGTGGCTATTTTCACTTCATCTATATAACTTTTTTCAGTAATGTGGGTATTTTCACTTCATCTATATTACTTTTTACAGTAATGTGAGTATTTTCACTTCATCTATATTAATTCACTGATGCAGGTATTTTCACTTCATCTATAAAACTTTTTACAGTAATGTGGGTATTTTCACTTCATCTATATAACTTTTTTCAGTAATGTGGGTATTTTCACTTCATCTATATTACTTTTTACAGTAATGTGGGTATTTTCACTTCATCTATATTAATACACTGATGCGGGTATTTTCACTTCATCTATATATCTTTTTAAAGTAATGTGGGTATTTTCACTTCATCTATATAACTTTTTACAGTAATGCGGGTATTTTCACTTCATCTATATTACTTTTTACAGTAATATGGGTATATTCACTTCATCTATGAAATATATGGAGATAACGAACAGTATATATTTTCCCTGATGTTTCATTTCCAACTCAATAATACTTGCAATGCTTCAAACAGGGTTTTTTCCTCATTGTACATTTATTTTATTTCTCTT